AAAGTATCGGAATGCGTCATTTGCGGGATTTATGAAGAGAACGTTATATCCATCATTCCAGGAGAGATTACGTTACTGTACTCTTTTTTCCTTGTCATGGTTTTTATCCCATTGGGTTTTTTCATGATAAGGTTTTTAATGAGGCAATACGTAATACATTAACGATGATGGATAATTAAGAGGGAGTGTTAAAAAGGATAATTATCCTCATCACTTTTTCACCGTCTTATACTTTTAGATATTTACTCTTACCGACTTACTTTTATTATTATATGTTTTCTCTTGGTCTATAAATAGACCTTTATGTTATGTAAAGAAATAAACTTTCAGACGAGTGAAATAAGAAACACTCTTCATCAATCTTCTCTCTCCCACTTACCTCTTGTCCCTTTCTCACTTCCTTCTCTTCCAAATTAAATAATATAATATATATATATATACATATAAACATACATATACTCACTTATTTTATATAATACATAAAAGAAAACTATATTTTGGGAAACTAGCTTTCTAAAATTAGTCATAACGGCTAATAAAAACAAAAACGAAAAAGCACGTTAAAAACGACAAACGTCTTAGCCTTAGTTAACTAACTAATCACGTAATCCTAGTTACATTCTAGCCATTGTAGAAGATTTATATGTGATTCTGTGCTATAGGTACAGTTTGAATTCTGAGGCCAGTGATTGGTTTTGTAAAGCAAAGCAATAATGAAGAGGAAAAGGAGTAAGGCCCATTTTTAAAGTAAGATCTTTTTGATTGATTTCGGTTGGATCCAACTGTGCATTTAGGTACAATTTGAGCAGAAATCTGTGTTTCAATCGCATCCACACATCGACTCCGGAATGTTTCTGGAGATTTTTCTCTGGAGATAAGATTGGAGGTGGAAGATGATGATTGATGAATCAAATTCGGCACTGTTAAAAAATCATCACAAAATATGGTTTTCTTTTCCAAAGATACTATAAGAGAAATATTCGACCCAAGAAACAAAACAAAAAACTATAAGAGAAATATTTACGAGATGAAGTTTTTGACTGATAATAGCTCTCTAGTTTATTCTACTTAACTAGGGTTTTAGCCTACGCATGCCTGGTATATTGCAAATCGTTTGTATTACTACTAAAAAGATAACCAAGAAAGAAAAATAACTTTAAACACCATATTGTTGTTGAGATTAAATGATAATAATTGTGATTTTTCTCATTCTACATTTAGAACCATAAATAAAATAGAAACGTCCCCACAATGAAGCAAATTATCTTCAAATGTACATCAAACTAATCTACTTTCCATGTGTACTTCGATTCTAAATTTAAGTAATGCATATCACATTATCACATGAATTTTCAACATTAAAGAAATGGGAACGTATGTTTTTGTGTGTTCAAAGATAAGTGCAATCACTGAATCCAGTTGTTAACTAATTTTTCAACCCGTGCTGGCTCCATATTGGTCTAGTAATAGTATGACATGATTCGTAACCTCTTTTGAGATACCAAAACTTTTCTTCAAGACAGAATTTAATTACTTCAATCTTTTATGTGACACTTGTATCTATATTGACTCATAAATAATTAATTATATCTAGTTCTGATCACGCATCTCATATTACGAATAGAAAGAAATACATAAATGCTTTTTTCATTAAAAATAGAAATAGAAGAACTAGAGTAAGTAAAATTTCGATAAGTAGCGGTTAAATTATTTAATTAACTATAGCAAGTTAGAAACGATATCAGAGGGATTAATGCTCAAGGTTTGAAAGAAAAAAAAACTTATAATGAAATTCTCACTTTCATGAAGACTATGTGAATTTGGAGGTGTCACTGAAGAGAGAAAAATATATAGAATCCGAGGAATAAAATAATACAAAGAAATAGGATAAACAATGCAACACATGCAAGAATATAATGTGTTTAACAAAGCACCACGATATGACATCAAACACATGAGCACGGCCACTGAAATCATAGTACAAGTTTGGATATTGTCAATTAAAACAAATATATACTGACCTTTTTATACTGGCTGGTTTAACGTCACGGGAGGCCCTGCGAAAACCTAAAATACACTGGCCTTTTTATATGTCTTATGTTAATTTTAACAGGAAAAAAAAAATACAAATTTCATGACTCAGATGCAACAACAAGGGCTTTAAACTTTCAAGTGAGCAGAACTAGACAAACGATTGGCTATATTAAAATACAAAACTAGTTTGTAAAATCTACACTTTAATTTGAATGGTTGATTGTCTCCTCCATGCCAACCAAGTCACATGTAAACCGGGAAGAAAACAAGATACACCGCGGCATTGTTCTCAGTCCCGATCGAAACCAGGTCATATATAGCGTAGATTCATCTTAAGAACTCATGGACGACGACGAGCATCCTTTAAACCTTTGGATAATGACAACTTCTTGAAAGTCTATCACTCAGAATTCTAGTACATAGAAGCTGGTCGTAACAGTCCATCTGCTCTCCCAACTTACTTTGCCCTCTGAAACAATATTCTTCTTTCATGGATTCAAAACTTACCTCAGAATATTAATGAATGTTCATAAATCGTGATGACATAATCATGTTGATGGTTTATTGTTATTTTTTTCTACATTAGCATACACATGCACATGTACATATATATTACAGACTTACAGTACTATAGACGTGCCCGAAAGACATAGTCAAAATGGCTGTGACTGGCGTCAGTCATTTATCACAGAAGTTTTCAAACTCGAGACAGGTAGTGTGGTGACCCATTTGGATCTCATGAATCTCATGGCCTGTTGACTCGAGTTTGTTCGAAGCTTATGGTGTCCGTTGAACCGTTGAACTAGATATAAGTCCACATTATAGCACTTTGGTGCGTTCCTACCGGGGCCGACCGGATCAGCCGATAGGGTTTATCAAAAAAAAAAAAAAATATATATATATATATATATATATATATATATATATTTATCACATAAGGGAAACTAGTAGAAAAAAATATTGAGTTATTTACATTCAAAGAGATTTTTCAGTTTCATTCTTACAAAAGAGTCACTTATAGCTATTGGGTAACTTATTTTTTGTTAATCTGAAATTACCGCTCGTGGATACGATAAGGTGGATACGACCTAGTGGATAGCAGATTAATCCCAGATTTTTAAAAATAGTGATTATTTTTTCCCATCTATTTTGTTTTGTATTTTTTTGTATTTGTGGAAGACATAAAATAATTTTTTTTTGTTAGAATGAGTTATAATTTCATTTTCTCATTGTTTTAAAACCCATTATACTATAGTTTATTTATTAAACAAGAAATTTTTCAAAAATACATATATAATTTTTTTTAAAAAAAATCAGAATTCTAGGTAGATATCCACTCAGAAAATATGATGTGGATGATGCATAATAGACATATAACATAAACATGATTGCGTGGATATGCTTTCAATGAGATATCCACTCAGAAAATATGATGTGGATGATGCGTAATGAACATATAACATGGACATAATTGAGTGGATATGTTTTCATTAATATATTCGACATGGATATATATTTTACATTGTCTATAACCTATCCACATGATCCACGTCCACTTAGAAAGTATCTTTTAATGTAATTATCTCAAAAATATTCTATCTAATTACCAAATGTGCATGAGAATATGGGTTTCAGTCATTGGGCCTAGATCCAAAAACAAACTTTCTAATGTTTAACAACAATTGCGTCTAAGTTCAAGACTGTCCCGTAAGTGTTTCAACGTGAGCTACAAGTCAACGAAAAAGTTGTAAAAGGGTACATAGAAAAGTTTTGATTAACTTTGAGGCACCTTGTTCAGAGAGACAAAACCTTCGCCCTTCAGAATAGAGAGAACGAGAGAGACAAAGAAGATCACCAGAATGAGAGTTCGGTGATCACTTTTGTATCTCCTTCTTCTAAATTTTGTACCTGAAACACAACGAAAACGCCAGTTAAAAACTTGTGTAAACTTTGCTAATAAGCCTATACTTATGTCGAGTTGCACACAAACAGTTACATCAGTAAATTAAACCAGTTAGTTCCATTCGCTTGACGGGAGATTATTATTTGGATGATGGTCTCACCCTGTAGTTTGCCACCAGACCACAAAAGAAACAGGAAAGCTCGGAAAAAAGAATTTAAATTTCATTTGTTATTCTTTGTAAAGATGAAGCAATTAATGTAAATTTTTTTTATTCAAATAAATTTTACATTCGATTCCAAAAAAAAAACCAGTTAGATTTCACATTTTTCTCGATATTTCAAAATAACAAATCTCAAAGTTAACGGGTTTGATAGTGTGTTAAAAACCATCGAAGTGCATGAATGATATACTTTGATAGATGCACTACGAAACCTTAAATGAAGTTTTTCAACACTTTTAAATGATTAGAATATGAGCAACAAAAAAAAAAAAAACTAGCAGAGCTAGGTTCAGTATTAATGCTTTAAAAACTATGAGAACTTTAAAAAAAAATTCACATTTTTACTCGTATACTAAATGAATATATTATACTTTCTTTGTTTCACAAAAAAACGTAAATTAAAATTTTATGTTTTTGTTTCACAAAGTGGTTTTATATTTTCAATGTAGGTTTTAAATAAATCTCAGTTTCATCTATATTGTTTTAGTTTATTAATTAGAGAAAAAAAAACTTATTTCTTGTATTGATAAAACTAATACAAAAAACTTATTTACATTTCTTTTTATAAAAAAATGTGTGAAATCAGAAATGTTTAAAATGATAATTTTTGTGATAAGGAGAATGTATCCTTTTTAAAAAGTTATCACTGAATGTAACAAACGCCCATACTTTTCTTTCCCATTTTTGTTAAAGATAACACACATATACATGCACCTGCAAGCACCAGAGTAACGGTTGTTATTAATTGTGCCCATTAATGTCAACAAACGCAATTAATACATAATTATTGTAACTAATAAACAACTATGCATTACAGCTAAGTCAGCTACCATCTGTAAACATATATGTACAAACACTAAAAAAAAACCCTCAAAATTCAGAGAATCAAGAAATGGATTCAGACTCTGTTCTTCCTCTCTCTGTTTCTTTCCAGCTTCCAGTTATCGATTTCTCCGATCGAACCCTAAAACCAGGAACCTCAAAGTGGGTTAAAGTGAAGGATGATGTCCGTAAAGCTTTAGAAGACTATGGCTGTTTCGAAGCTTCCTTTGACAGAGTGTCAATGGAGCTTAAGAAGTCTGTTTTCGAAGCCATGGAAGATCTTTTCGAGTTGCCGGTTGAGACCAAAAAGAGAAACGTGTCGTCGAAACCCTTTCATGGATATCTAAGTCATAATCTTTACCAGAGTTTGGGGATCGATGATGCTAATGTTTTGGAGAAAGTCAACGACTTTACTCATCAGCTATGGCCTGATCATGGAAGCAAGAGTATTAGGTAAGAATGTGAAGTCAATAAATTTAGGCCTTATTAATTATGTAGTGTTATAAAAAGATATGATTTTTTATAACATCTTGATTGATAAACTTAACTATTTTTGTTAAAAGTATTCTTTAAAACTAAGATTAATTGAAAAATTCGGTTTTGTCAATAGTGAGACGATGCACGGGTTTACGGAGAAATTAGTGGAATTGGATGTGATGGTGAGAAGAATGATAATGGAGAGTTTTGGGATAGAGAAATACATTGATGAACATCTCAACACTACAAGTTATCTTCTTCGAATGATGAAGTATACAGCACCTCCTGATGATGATGATGATGACGATGTTGAAGAGACAAAGTTAGGTTTACGCTCTCATACCGATAAGAACATCATCACAATACTTCATCAGTATCAAGTTGATGGTTTGGAAATTATGACCAAAGACGAGAAATGGATCAAAGTGAAACCATCTCAAGATTCTTGCATCGTTATGGTTGGAGATTCTCTTTGTGTAAGTTCCAGACTTCCTTTTTTTAATTTACTATTATATTCTTAGTTAGAGAATAAGAATAGTTAACTATTTTGTTGATGTTACAGGCACTTTTGAATGGTCGAATATCTTCTCCATATCACCGAGTCCTGGTGATGGAAAAGAAGACAAGGTATTCAACTGCATTGTTCTCGATTCCAAAATCAGGAGTTATCATAGATTCACCAAAAGAACTTCTCGATGAAGAACATCCACGTGTATTCAGACCCTTTGAATATAACGACTTCGTTCATTTCTTTCACACAGAAGCTGGACGTAGAACTCAGTCTCCTCTCCATGCTTTCTGTGCTCTCTGAAACATTCAAGTTATTCACAATAATAGTGAATGTAATGACTTTATGTTTGATGCTTTGTACCAATCTAAAACCACTTCTATGTTAATAGGTTTCGCTTTTCATTTCTTTTTTGTTATTTAACGGGAACTAGCAATTGTTTTTGTTATTTGATATGTTTTCAGATGCTCATGCATTCGCAATTACGCATAAACATAACAAATACACCATGCACACAAAACATTCTAGAGAGTTGGAGAAGCAAAAGAGGGAAGAAACAAAAATAATTACTATGCCATTCTCATTCTCTGGTATAGTAGATTATATTACACATGTGCGGCAGAGAATATAAACATTGCAAATTATGAACCATAAATCTTGCTATACTTGTATATAGTTGTACTTGTACCCAATTCCAATGTCTTTTGCTTTTACCTTCGACTTCATGAATTGTGAAAAAAAAAAACGCGAATGCAATTAGATTCAGATGTATGCAAGCGAGCTTCTGTCAAAATCCGGTTGTGGCCTTCCTCGTGTTGGAGTCGGCGGTCTCTGGATATTCAGCTCCTGCAAGAGATACTTTAGTTTCAGTGTCTGATTCTTTCTTAGCTACAACAAAACATATGGCTACATAAACTTATCCTTTTTCTCTAAGCAAGTGACGATATAGCGGAGACTTTCTTGATATGCACTCACATAACTACTAACTAAGATCGACTTGCTCTGTTCACGGCCGAAACAAAGACATCATGCTAGTGTATATGGTAGGAAAATGTCTTTTCTGGTTCCAGAACGACACATGTTTTTAGTATACGAAGACAATCTCTTACCACAAGGTCAAAGTTGGCTGAAACAAGTTTAAGTTTGTTTTTGTGTGTGGGGATTGTGTTCTTATTATAATGGCAGTAAAAGTCTTAAAGTGTGGATTTCAATTAACTTGGAACAGAAGAACCAGTAGAAAGTGTTGTTACCTGCATCCAAGCGTCGTCTCCAGAATGTTCAGGAGAATTCTCTGGGGATAAAATGGGAGGTGGAAGAGGATGAATCAACTTAGGAACAATCACCAATCCTCTGCCAACCACCAGTATAGCTCCCGCATTGTTCGCAGTTCCTGTTAGAAAAGTTTCACAAATGTTTTTTTTTAATAATCTATTTACCTCAAGCCTATCCAAGAAATACAAACATAGATACAAGATGAAGTTACGACTGATTTTTGTTTCTCCTCACCGCAGTAATTTGTGGCGGAAAAAAGCGTAATCAACTGTCCTTGTGCAAATCTTTCGAATCCATCCATTACACATTCGTGGGCTCTAATAATTAGCTGTAGTTTATTCTTCTTACAGAATTCTGTGACTCTATCAGGCTGCAATAAAAAAACATTCAGTGATTAGCTCCCCCCAAAAAATGATGATATTAATGAAAAGAGACAATAAGACAAGGAGTTTTACCCCAAACGTGACAAGACCGGGTCCTCTGGCGTTTGGTCTCAAACCCTCTATACTATCGTTCTCTGTAGGATCAGACCTGTACTTCGAAAAATTACATTCTGACTTGGTAATGTAAAGATATAGCGATCGATGTATAAAGCAAGAGCAGAAAGTACACATTACCATAACAAATCCATAAGAACAAGGGATCCAGCATCCATTGTTATTGGTCTTTCGATTTTTTCAATCTGTTCCACTGAACTGATTGACCTCCCAATGCCACCATGCATACATATAATTTTATTCTCAATAAGTGCAGCGAGGGGAAGATAGTTGAAAAGTTGATTGAATCTTGTCCATGCCCAGATCCCATCATTCTCTCCCTGATAAAAAGTAAAGAGAAAGCTTAGTCCAAGAAGAGCAAGCTAGAGACGAAGACAATGTTATTTAGCAGAGTCGTATATGTACCATTCTTTCTATGCATTCAAGACGGAAACCAAATAGAGCATTAATATCAGCAGCCTCGTGATTTCCACGAATCAAGTGAACATTCTCCGGATATTCAATCTGCACAGGAATACCTCACACCATAAACCCCAAGAAGCACAATTTGAATGACACTAGTAGTATGTGTGATGTGTAATTAGGCCCCGTCTTGCCTTTAATGCAAGTAGCAAAGTTATAGTCTCCAGGCTGTGTTGCCCTCTGTCGACATAATCTCCCAAAAATAGATAATCAATATACCTGAGGTAAACACGTTTAATGGATCAGTGAATATTTGTTAGGAAAAACTCACATTACTCAATCGTTTGCTAATAAACTTACGTGATATCTCCAGCTGTTGAGGGAAAACCATATTCATCAAACAACCGCATCAAATCGCCGAATTGGCCATGGAGATCGCCAAATACTTTAATAGGAGCTCTAAGCTGAAGAACCGTTTGTTCATGCATAAATATTTGTTCAGCAGCATAACAGAGTTCCCCAACTTCGTAAGAGTCCAAGAAAAACTTCCTATTGCCAGGAGGTTTCCAGTTTCGAGGTCTCAACAGAGCAGAAATGACCTGCAAGCAACAACATATTAGTAGTAGATATTATTAACTGTGACATCGTCCAGGAGGAATCATACCTTTTTATGCAGGCCTTGAGGAGACTTCTGTCTTGTGAACTTCTTGGTCGGTTGTGGCACATCGCTGTTATTCATTGGAACCATCCGTCGGCTCTCATTCTGAAACTGATCCAAGCTTAGCTGTCTTACCATTCCACCCAGACTACCGACCGTCTCCTTTGCAACCACAACCTATAAAACGAGTAAGCCCACTTGTGGTAATCAAATATATGCAAGACTAGATGTAACACTAATCTAAAGCAATGAAGTATACCAAGCTAAGCAAAGAAGTATAATAGAAACGAAGAGAGAATTGATATTAGGGATTAACATACAGCTCTTGGATGAAGCCGAACATCTCCTTCAGTTTCAGGACCATCAGTAGTGGTTTCTACTGTTGGCGAGCTGCCATCAGATGCAGAGGGTTCTTCATCTAGAGAACCTGATCCCAGTTGTGCAGCTCGCCAAACAGAACTAGCTACCTCTGCTTCCGCTGCAGAAGCCTCCGTCAATTTCTCCAAGGAATTTTCATCCAAGCTGATATTGTTAAAGGAGAAAAGAAAGATATGTGTAATGCTCGAACAACTAGATAGCGTTAGGCACAAAGCCAAAAAGAGTGTAAGAAATGGGATAGACCTCAGTCCTTCGGACATAGAGTGTGCTGTTTCAGAGCCTGAAGGAGGTCGTGCGGCGTAAGAAAACCTGGGAGTCGAGCTTTGTTGAGTTCTATCGGATGCTGACAAAGGAGAACTGATGTCTGACTGGAATGTTGAATTTTCAGCGACTAGAAAATCGTCAAGCAAAACATCTGCAAGGAAAACAAAGTTACGCCAATAACCACACTAAGAAAGGCATTAAGTAAACTAAGAGATGTGGCAATGTGTCACAAAAAACTTCCCAAGAATCAACTTGCCCTAGGCTAGGATACGTGAAACCATAGAAGTAAAGTATATGTATGTGATAAACATATGCATCTTATTGTATAAAAAAGTAAAATATCAGGGTTACCTCCTCTAAGACCACCATGTACATATATACGGATGCCGACTGATGCAGCACCATGGCGACAGCGTCGCATCAGTTCTAAAGAAGGATCTTGATCGATTTGTCCTTTATTGCCCCGCGCAGATGTTACTTGCCCATTTCTATCCAACCATACACCGGCAGCAGTATCAAGCACTGCAAGAAGAAAGTGACCATAATAATTACCAATACCGAAAAAATGGCTACGAGGGAGTAAAAACCAGCTTTTCTATTCCCAATCCAATACATTCCATGTGATTGACCACCGCTTCTAGGAGACACTCATGTAACCCAATAAAAAAAAAAATTAACACAGAACAGTAAAATTATTACAAGGAAACAGCCATTAAACATCACCTGCAACAGTTGCTTCGGCATCTATTACGCGGCCTCCTCTCAGAACACCTCCGCTGACATGCAATCTTGCACCTACAAAAACCTGATGAGAAAACAATCAAAGAATGCACTGAAAAGGCTATGATTCAAGCACTGTGTCTAGTAATCGAAGTTTGACGCCTCGATTATCATTTCACCTTGAAGGCAAATAAGAGTTGTCTTTGTTTCTAAGGCTAAAGAGTGCAGTTTACTGTGATACAAAGTGCAGTTTTTTGTAAACCCACGCTTCTGAAACTTATTTTACCATACGTTTTGAAACTAGAGTAAGATTTAGTTTACCGCTGCGTGTTGATATCTTGGAGAAGGAGCTACGCCTGGAGCCAGAGTCCATTCCCACTGACCATTTCTATGCATTAGTAAACCATAAGCATCTCCCAGTGGCTGCAGATGCAAGGACATATTAGCGAATATGCCAGAATTCATAGAGGAGCTAACATCTTAAAAATGAGATCCTATAGCAAAATAGACCAAGCTCTAGTAGTGGAGATGTTCGTAACTTCTCTATCTTCGAAAGAGAAGTCTACTACTTCCTACACAGAAAAAAGTAAGGGAGAAGATAAGTATACCGCCCCTAAGGTGTCTCTTCCACCGCAGAGTAAAAACATGCCGTCTGAACGAGCACTGCCAGTAGCATACCTATGCAGAAATATCGAAATATGAAACAGATGTTCAGTTGAAGAAACAGGTGTTCTACAGTAGCAGTTCAAATCAACTAAAATCACTAACATTCTAGCACTTGGTCGGTCACCATCAGGATTCAATCTCTGCCATACATATGGTTTCTGAGCTGTATCCAATGCCCAAGCGTCAGAGAGAGCTCGTTTCCCTGTTTCATACACAGGAGGAGGAAAAACTTTAGGATATTTGGATTCTTTAAGATAAAGATATAAACAGAACAATAAAAACTAACAGTTTCCATGTAAGAACATAAATTATTTAGGGGCACGGAACCATATAATACTATATAAAGTTGAAAGCAAAATATACATATGTAAGTAGTAATTTCTGATAATTAATGGTCCGTCAATTAGGATTTTGACTGTTTTTGTGGACGAGAGATATGGCTTAACTGTTTTCTCAATCGTATTACTACACTATTTGATGCCTGTTATGGTAAACAGAAATCCTGAATAGGCGCATGAAATGTCGGATAATAAACCAAGAGAAATACAGATATATTCTTACCATCGTTTCCGGTGACTGTAACAAGATACCTCTGAGAAACTAAATCCATAACATGACCATAGCGAGGGCCTGGACCCTCCCCTTGAACCACCACCCTGAACAACACATTATATGCAAGCATATTGTCATCACTACGATAGATAGCACAAGAGACAAGGAACTCAGAGATTTGTAAAGGAATCTTACCTGTGCCACTTAAACTTGTCATTAGTCATGTCAAGAACGTAAAGATCATCAGTAGAGTGTCCAGCCGGGCCAATGCCACCCTGTTACATAAGGAAAAAGCATAAGTATGTGTCATAAATGGACAGTGCTAATTGAAAATCGACCAAAAGCCTTCCAAATTTTCTCTTTGCAAGAAACAATAAATGATCTGATTAATCGATACCTGAAAAACGACCATGGTGCCAACTGCAGCTGCGGCGTGAGCAGCTCTAGGAGACGGAGGCTCACCAGCCGGTTTAAGCCTACACAATTCCGTAGATTCACAAGTACAAAACTCTCCATCAAAAACCAATGTGTGGTTTCAAGAAAACATTAAACCGACAAACAAAATCAGAACATGTTACCTTGTCCACTTCCTTGTCAGAACATCATAAGAATGCACCGTATTGGTCACACCAGCTAACCCTAGAAAACAATCCCAGCAGCATCAGGCAACTTCAGATCAAACTAAACAAAATAAAAAGATTCTTTTTCCAACTTACTGATCCCAGGTAAGGAAGAACTTCCGCCCTCGATAGCGGTGGCGCCGCCGAAGAGAATGAGACGAGGGCCGTGAGTTTTTGTAGCAGCAACCGCCGTGAGTGTATGAGCGCATCTAGGACCAGGAGCGTCATCTTCATCGTCCCAAAAGGTTTCTAGGGTTTTGTACTGAGGAGCTGGATGTAGCCACTGTTTCGTGCCCATGGAAAACCACTTTTGCGCGTATAAATCGCCCCACCAGCAGCAAACAGAAAGGTAAAACGAAACCTAGAAAAAGCCGAATCAAAGAAGGAAGAGCACGGCACTGATGTCAGAAGTTCATAGGAACATCAGATCGGAAGAGTAAGACTTCACGGTGGACGACGGTGGCGGGTCACGGCGGACTCTGTCTTCTCCCAAGTAAACCTTTCTTTCTTTTCCCCTGACGAATTTGTTTTTGAAAAAAAAAAAATTAACTGAGAGAACAAAAAAAATAAAAATAAAAATGTTTGCTGTCCGGCAGATTTTCGAGGACACAGTTTTCTGCGGATAGAAAAGGCGTTTGCGCTGAGCTGTACTTACTTTAGTCTTCTTTTCTAGTCAACGGCTTTAGTTGTCTCGGGAAAATGTCGAGAATACCCCTCAACTTGTGAAATGGAAATGTATTTTTGTTTGTTTGTTTGTTTAAGTAGCTGATTTTATCGAGAGATTAGAGTGATATGTAATTAAATCGTAAAGATATGCTAATTTCTATAACCGAGTTCAAATGTTACTATGATAGTTGTTAGTAGTGATATTAAGAATACAGTAACAGTCTGTATACGTAATATTTCTATAACTTAATAGTTTTGCGAAATGACATAATCATGTAAAAGTATGATTTTTTTTGGTTAAGCAAAAACACTGTCTTCGTTTTGTGTTTAAATTTCATTCCACAAATTTTTGTTGATTTGGAAAAATATTTACGAAATCATTTTTAAAAATGCAATTATGCAATTCCAAATATTACCAATCACAGCCTAAATAATCATTCTTCATTGTTTTAAGCTTCAACTGATTATTGTACTTCTTTAGCATTAAGTAAGGAGAGAAAAGTCAAACTCTTCCGTCAGTTATTAGTTATTATCTTCACTATTCACTCTCAATGTCTCAACGTTCACCTGTAAAATAACCTCTGAGAGAGAGACAGAGAGGGAGAGAGAGAGAGAGACAGAGCTCATAAACAGAGTTAAGAAGACCAAAAGAGAATCTCTAAAAAGCTTTAAAGTGATGATTGTACTTATTTAAAGTAAGGAGAGAAAAGTCAACCTCTCCCGTCAGTTATTATCTTCACTATTTACTCTCAATGTCTCAACCTTCACCTGTAAGATAACCTCTGAGAGGGAGACAGAGAGAGAGGGAGACAGAGCTCATAAACAGATTAATAGTACCAAAAGAGAATCTCTAAAAAGTAAAAAAAACAAAAGCCTAATGATCAAAGTCAATGCAACTGAGTCTAATACTGAAGCTTGTTCACATCCCAAGCCACTCTCATAACTCCAAACTTCGAATTCGCTTCCTCAAAATTCCTCCCAACATCATCAGACCCATAAGGGATGATCATTTTGCTCCAATCATATGCACTAAGCTCCACAACATCAACTACACAAACCCGTCTTGTCTCCAGGCTTAAACCGTACCATTCACCGTCAGTTCTCAACACCATTCCTATCCCGATCTTATCTCCTCTCTCGTTCATCAGAACCACTTGTTGCCCTCGCTTTAGCCCTTCTTCTGATGATGACGATGATCTCATCGGATTCTCTCCTGTTTTCGGGGTTCTTGATGCAGCTTGATCTGTGATTGGCGTTGATGGTTTCTGCTGCCAAGTGTTCTCATCTCCAGGACTCTCCGGAAAATCCCCTAAGCTATCACGAACAGGCCACCCTTGCTTGTTTGCTCGAGCTAGTTTCGCTTTTCGGTTATTCAGCCTGAGAAAAAAAAAAGGAACAAACCTTAGATTGAGAAATAGTGATTGTAAGACTCTCTTTTCACTGGACACAGAGAGAGAGAAAACAATCAAGCAAGTACCAGTTTTTCAGCTGCGAAGATGTAATAACCTCGGAACCCTGCAAAATCGAACAAGCTCAGACTTTGTAATAACCGGCTGGAAATTTACAAAGAGTAGAATTCTTGAACTCACATTTTGACTCAATTTATGAGCCCAATACTGTATCCAAGATGAATTTCGCTGCATATCAGGTTCATCAGCAAGCGCCTTCTCGATCATCACCATTTGATCATCATTCATAATACTACGCTTCCGTTTCTTCCTCAGTTTCTCAAACACAAGAAAATTTTCAGCTCTCTCATCTTCCTTCACCTCTCCCGATGCACTTCCTTTAAACCGCTTGCGCAAAAGCAACTCTCCATCGTCAAGCTGATCAACCAGACTCTTCCCTTTGTTAGAGCTTGTATCTGAACCACTGGTTTCAAGATTGCTCGCATCTGCGTCGCTCTCTTTCAACCCTTCACCTATTTCCATCTTCTTGTTCACGCCTTGCTTTGTCGCCACACCCTCCACTCGGACATCACAATTCTCTGAAGCTTCTTCATTGTTAAGATTCAGAGGCTCTGTTCTTTGCTGCTTACCAGATAAATTCCCTTCCGTACCTTGAATATCCTAGAACAAAACATAACATTTCTAAAGTTAGAAAAAAGGCCCCATCTTTCACAAATATATTAACAAATGAATCGACAAGAGTAAAACGTCGTTACAGTTACTTGTATCAGAGTAACTAAACAGATAATCATAAACAAAAGCACAACCATGTACAAAAGAGTAACAAGCTTTTCACCTTCACCTCAGCCTGACTTTCTTCAAACTCAGAACGAATTAGCGGTTCCAACTGGACGCAGAACACCCTGCAGCGATACCATCCAAAAATTATATATCAATGGGGATACAAAACAGTACAGCTCGAGAACTATAAAAATGTTCTTTAATACTGTCCTAGGTGGTTGAGAGGTGCTATCACCTGAAAAGCTGGAAATCTTCGCCATTAAGGACATTAGGGATCAAGGATTGTCCATGACGCAACAAAGAACCTACGAATACAAAATATCCATCACAATGAAAACACCAAAAACATGTGCAATACGTAAGAAAGAATAGATGTGTCGGGATAAAGTTACACACATATGTTTCTGAAAACGCCAGTGCCTCTCTGTGCCACCGGAGTATATGAAGGGCCTGGTAATAGATTAACCAATATGCTTGAAGGATCCTTTCGCAATCCACTCATAAAATTCTTAATGAAGCGGTTCCTATCCTCTTCTGCAGGTTCAACAGCAATTCACATAGTAAGAAACAAATGTATGCCATACAATATGATCCAGGATTATCATATTGGTAGCGGACGGGAGGAAAAATCACCTTTGCAGACGTTGGGAACGAAGCAGTGAGAGTTCGCAATAATTTTAATAAGTAGGGATGTTCTTTGATGTGCGTATGAAGACATGGTGAGGTTATTTTGAAAACTAAGCTTGAATTGAGGCACGACCAATTGACCAGAAGATGAAAATACACTAAGAGCCGCTCCAGCTGATGTAAACAGATCGTAATCTAGTGTGGCATCATCCTCCCTCGAAGAAATATCAGAAGAGCATAACATTGACAAGAAATCTCCATGAGAGAGACAACATACTGCGCTGAGAACCACAGGCTGTAGATAAGATTTAACATCCGTCACACATCAAGTCACAGAATTTGAGTACCGCAATTAGATATAACCCGAGAAATGAAAGTTCGAAGATTGTATCCTGGATAGAGAATCGTATGTGCTAAAAAAAGAAAATAAAGCAAGGGGCTTTTAAAGAGGCAGGGGAGTATTCAATACTTACCAAATGTTTGATGAAAAAATGTCGAAAATTTGAGTCATCCGTGAACACGTCAGCCAAGCGCATAGCGTTAAGTAGCACAAAGCCCATTGGATAGTCAGGTGAAGCACTAGCCTTGGAAGCTTTAGACAGGCCAAGTCTCAATAATTCAAGAACCTAGATTACAAAATATAGCATCACCAAATAGGTCAACACTAACTTCAGAAATATAACGTTCATGGAGAAAATTGAGGAACAGAAAAGTACAAAATGTCAACTTAACAACATATGACATTGGGGAAACTGTAGGTGGAGATGATATCACTAAACCAACATGAGTCTTTTTGCAGTGAGGCTTGATCTATGGCTACTTAGAAGTTATAAAGTAGTAAGATTTTCAATAAGTATGGAATCTCCGTAAGTAGCAGCGTCAAACCAGTGGTAAGCCTTTCAATTCAAGAAGGAAAAGCTCTTTATTTAGGACTACTAACCTCTCTGGCAATCGTTTTGGCTAAATGCTTATTTCCTGCACGTGCAACCTCATCAAGAAATGATACACCATCCGCCTCAAACACATGATGCAACTGCAGGAACACAAACCTTGGTGTGAGTGAGTTACAGACAGTAAATAGAGAAAGACAAGGCTAAATTACAGTAGACTTACAAGTGAAAGGACCTTTGCTTGCATTCTAGACATTGAAGCTCTTGTTACGGATTCTCCAACAAATTCAGGTGAGACAGTTAGTGATAGTATGGATTGAGCTAGCATAAGAACACCACCTTTTCCACATAGCTCCTGAAAAAAGGAATACCAGGAAACCTAATTATGAGATTCGTTCTCCACAATATTATCAATTCATTATAACGGTTAATGACAACTTGTAAGAATGTACACGAGACTTAGTTAATTTAAATTTGATGCATCTCAAGATCTAAGAGCCAAGCATTAGAGAAAACCTTGTTTTTAGCGAGACGGTCTCGAAACAGCTTGTGTTGGCATAGAGAATGAAGGAACTGCAAAGCAGCTTCAGCTTGTTGGCAGTGGATATTAACTGCCCCAAGAGTATCCACACCTAACTTTTGCGGTAGGTCAGTTCGCCGATACAGCAACTTCACTCTTAAAGATCTCACGACATTGTGAACCGCTCCAAAAGCACTATCGATAAATACATCAACCTAGATCAACAAATCCAAACGCATCAGAACACAATATCTCAAAGCATAAGCGTAGTTTTTAGTAATTTCCAATGATAAGGTCATACATTACGGTGGGCAAGCAAGACTTGAGCAAGATCTTGGTAGTTAGGAGAGATAAACCCATGCAACAGGTAAAGAGAAGAAGCCACCAATGTGGCATCTAGCAGTGAGTCATTATCTGAATTCCAGCTTTCCTGGACACAAACAACAGAGATGAGTCACAACTCAAACGAGAGAAACAAGAAGAGACACAAAGAGGATTTTTTGGAAAGAACCTTTCTATTTTTGCCAAGAAGTATTATTGTAAGGATCACCAGATCAATCATCTGTCCTGATAGTTTCACATCATCAAGCAAGACCTATCACAGTATGCAAGAAACAGAAACAGACATTTTTTTCTAAACGCTTTTACCACAAAGACATAAAGTCCAATTCTTTTGCTTCATAAACACATCAAGATGGAACCTGCTCAAGTTTAGGGTGACGAGAAGTTAAGTCGCACAACGTCTGCAACAGTCTGATCCCACACAGTAAATATTGGAGGAAACTGTCATCTCCATCAGAATGCATAACCACTGCCATTAGGTGCATAGGTAATATTCCTACCATTTTCTCTACATTAATCTGAAAGAGCTCAAAATCAGTAATTTTCAAAAAATGGAGACAACAATTTTGAAAAGGAAATGATGATATTGCACCTTTTTTGGTGGTTCCCCTTCTACTTCAGAGTTATAACAAATACAGAAATCTTCATTATCTTTAAGAAGCTTGTGAATCTCCAGAGAGCTTCTCCAATGCAAACCCTTCACAGCTGCTTTCAATTGTATAGGCTGCAACACACCAATCATGTTACTCATATGCAACAGTTACTGAAGCTAAATTTCCGGCGAGTATAAACAGCAAAGGAGCGATCAGGGACTCAAAATTTTGTGTCGCCGTGAATTCTAGCGTTAGATTATGGCAGAGAAGGAGATAAAGAATTCATGGGAGAGAAGAAAAGAGGATAATGGTATTTCAAGGTATAATGGTATAATGGTAAATATGTAGAGTTAGGGAGGTATATTTGTAGAAATATATATGACACTGAGTCTCTCTCTCTGCCATAAACACAGCAAGCTAATCAAATTATTTGGCCCCAGCCACAAATTCAAACCCTAACATTTTTCACCAAATGTGGAAACGTTGAAGACAATCACGTGAGAGAACACGTGACCCTTTTTTTCCTATCAAAGTCGGTATCAAAGCCCAACGCAGCTTTTCCGTTTTATCAAAGCCCAAAATACTATAAAATTTCACCCAACTTCTTAACTTTTGATCACTATTTTAAACACACACAAAAAGTAGAATAACAATAATATATTTTACTATACAAATTTAATTTATAAATTTTTGTAAACTATTAAAAACATATTTATAAATTACAAAAAGAAAAATAACATACGTATTGTTTCTAATTTTTGTTTGCTAAGTTAATACTTTTTAGTTATTTTTTTTGCTATATTAGAGTCATCAATCCAAAATAGCAAAACGAATAACATTATGTTTTATTTTATTAAAGTGTTCTTTGTTGCCATTTGTTTTTGAAACGGCCGACAATGAAACAAATAAAATAACTTTAAATACAAGAAAATTTAGTTTTTTTTTAACTAGAATATGAAACTTTAGTTTTACCAATTAATCAAGTAGAACTAGCAAATCATTTTCACAATAGCCGAACATTTAAAAGAAAAATACTTACTGGATCAGGATCAGCATGTGTTGTTGACGCATTCCCTTTGCAAAGTTTCGCATTCTACAACAAAAGCATAAAAAAACAAAAATTCGCAAGTAAGTTAAGAAAGATAAAGATCAAATCTTGACTCCAACCCAGAAAAATGAATAACACTATGCCTTATTTGTTGAAGGCATTTGATCTTGCCATATAAAATAACTGATAGTGTTTAAAAAAAATACTTACTGTTGTTGACGCACTCGCTTTACAAAGTTTTGCCTTCTACAGCAAAAACATAAGAAAAACAAAATTTGCAAGTAAGTTAAAAAATATTAAGATCAAATCTTGACTCCAAACCAGAAAAAATGAATAACACTATGCCTTATTTGTTGAAGGCATTTGATTTTACCCTATGAAATAACTGATGGTGTTTAAAAGAACATTTAAAATAAAATACTTACTGGATCAAGATCAGCATGTAATGTTGACGCGTTCGCTTTACAAAGTTTCGCCTTCTACAACAAAAGCATAAGAAAAACAAAAATTTGCAAGTAAGTTAAGAAAGATTAAGATCAAATCTTGACTCCAAACCAGAAAAAAATGAATAACATTATGCCTTATTTGTTGAAGGCATTTAATCTTGCCATATGAAATGACTGATGGTGTTTACGAGAACATTTAATAGAAAAATACTTACTGGATCAGGATCAGCATGTATTGTTGACGCGCTTGCTTTACAAAGTTTTGTCTTCTACAACAAAAGCATAAGAAAAACAAAAATTTGCAAGTATGTTACGAAAGATTAATATCAAATCTTGACTCTAAACCAGAAAAATGAATTACACTATGCCTTATTTGTTGAAGGCATTTGATCTTTCCATATGAAACAACTAATAGTGTTTAAAAGAACATTTAAAAAAAAAATATTTACTGGATCAAGATCAGGATGTATTGTTGACACGTTCGCTTTACAAAGCTTCGTCTTCTACAACAAAAGCATAAGAAAAACAAAAATTTGCAAGTTAAGAAAGATTAAGATCAAATCTTGACTCCAAACCAGAAAAATGTATAACACTATGCCTTATTTGTTGAAGGCATTTAGTCTTGCCATATGAAACGACTGATGGTGTTTAAGAGAACATTTAAAAGAAAAATACTTACTGGATCATGATCAGCATGTATTGTTGACGCGCTCGCTTTAAAAAGTTTCGCCTTCTTCAACAAAAGCATAAGAAAAACAAAAATTTGCAAGTAAGTTAAGAAAGATTAAGATCAAATCTTGACTCCAAACCAGGAAAATGAATAACACTATGCCTTATTTGTTGAAGGCATTTGATATTGCCATATGAAACAACTGATAGTGTTTAAAAGAACATTTAATAGAAAAATGCTTACTGGATCAGGATCAGCATGTATTGTTGACGCGCTTGCTTTACAAAGTTTTGTCTTCTACAACAAAAGCATAAGAAAAACAAAAATTTGCAAGTATGTTACGAAAGATTAATATCAAATCTTGACTCCAAACCAGAAAAATGAATAACACTATGCCTTATTTGTTGAAGGCATTTGATCTTTCCATATGAAACAACTAATAGTGTTTAAAAGAACATTTAAAAAAAAAATATTTACTGGATCAAGATCAGGATGTATTGTTGACACGTTCGCTTTACAAAGCTTCGTCTTCTACAACAAAAGCATAAGAAAAACAAAAATTTGCAAGTTAAGAAAGATTAAGATCAAATCTTGACTCCAAACCAGAAAAATGTATAACACTATGCCTTATTTGTTGAAGGCATTTAGTCTTGCCATATGAAACGACTGATGGTGTTTAAGAGAACATTTAAAAGAAAAATACTTACTGGATCATGATCAGCATGTATTGTTGACGCGCTCGCTTTACAAAGTTTCGCCTTCTACAACAAAAGCATAAGAAAAACAAAAATTTGCAAGTAAGTTAAGAAAGATTAAGATCAAATTTTGACTCCAAACCAGGAAAATGAATAATACTATGCCTTATTTGTTGAAGGCATTTGATATTGCCATATGAAACAACTGATAGTGTTTAAAAGAACATTTAAAAGAAAAATACTTACTGGATCAGGATTAGCATGTATTGTTAACACGCTCGCTTTACAAAGTTTCGTCTTCTACCACAAAAGCATAAGAAAAATAAAAATTTGCAAGTAAGTTAAAAAAAAAATTAAGATCAAATCTTGACCTCAAAGTAGAAAAATGAATAACACTATGCCTTATTTGTTGAATGCATTTCATTTTGCTATATGAAACAACTGATAGTGTTTAAAAGAACATTTAAAAGAAAAATACTTACTGGATCAGGATCAACATGTATTGTTGATGCGTTCGCTTTACAAAGTTTTGCCTTCTACAACAAAAACGTAAGAAAAACAAAAATTTGCAAGTTAAGAAAGATTAAGATCAAATCTTGACTCCAAACCAGAAAAATGAATAACACTATGCCTTATTTGTTGAAGGCATTTGATATTTCCATATGACTGATGGTGTTTAAAAGAACATTTAAAATAAAAATACTTACTAGATCAGGATCAGTATGTATTGTTGACGCGCTCGCTTTACAAAGTTTCGCCTTCTACAACAAAAATATAAGAAAAACAAAAATTTGCAAGTAAGTTAAGAAATATTAAAATCAAATCTTGATTCTAAACCAGAAAAATGAATCACACTATGCTTTATTTGTTGAAGACATTTTCTTGCCATATGATAGTGAAACTAACAAAGTACTTTGAATTCATAAAAATCTAATTTCACCAACTGATCAACTATAACTAATAAATTATTCTCACCACGGCTGAAATAAGAAATCATTATACATTTTCTTAAAATGTACTTACTCTGTGAGAAGATATTGCTGATGCTCTTGCTTTGGAAAGTCTCGTTTGTAAAAGGGCCTAAAAACAAAAGCATAAGAAACACAGATTTTCTAAATTAACAAAGATCAAATCTTGATTCCAACATTCAAATATTGCATGTTAATATTAAACAAGATAGCTCTGATTATAAACTCCAAACATGTAACTCTTTTTTATTTTCTTTTTTACATGAAACTCAATATCAAATTTGTAAAATTATGTAACTTCAAAAACACCATCCTTGTTGGTTGTTTGTCAAAGTGTTTCATATGTTATCACATTTACACACTTTTAAGTTTAGTTTTAAATACAAACTGCATTCTCAAATCATGAATGATATATATATATATATATTATTTTATTCTATTTTTATTATGGCTCACAAAATGAGTAGAATATATGGGGCGCTTCAAGCCTTCAACCACTTATTACCAATTATCTAAAATTTTAGATTTATAGTTATTTAGTGACGATGAACGCCTACGTCTTGAAGATCTATCTTTAATTAAGCTTCAGATTCATGTTATATACCTCATAATTAAAAACACCTAACCACCTAAATTTATATGATTGTCCACTTAAATAATATAAAGCATTTACACATAAATTTTACATCAAAATAAATAGGCACCTTCACATAACGTTTGATTTCTGAAAATTTTATGAAGAAAAAATGCTCATATTAAATTGATTTTTTACGTTAGTACTACAAAGAAATAATAAACACATCTTTTTGATTCTGTAATATATCAAAAACATATATTCCATAAAAATCTAATAAATTAAACTAGTTTTAATATAAAGGACAAGAAGGCGGATCTAATTTTCAAGATTTTTGTAACTCAGTTCTGGATTGACTCCCATTTGGGACGAATCCGATCTTTACTTAGTCAATAAATGCGATTTATCGTAAAAAATAGTAAAATTGACTCACCTTGAGCAAATCTCTTCGAGGCGGCTTCATCGTGTAACAAACAACAAAAACCCTAGCGGCGGAAGGATGAAAAAAATGTGTTATACCCATATATATATACATATATATATATACATATATATATATACATATATATACATATATATATATATAACAAAAAAGGTAACATTAGCTTTGTTACTAAAATTTTGGTTCCTATTTTCAAAGTAGAAAAGATACAAAAGGAAAAATAAATAAGTTTATGATAAATGTAACATATTTCTAAAAAATGTGATTCTCCTAAGTTATTAGCAAATAAAGCTAGTTGAAAATTTTCTTAAAAAATTGTTCACCAAAGATAATGTAAATATAATTGAATAATATTGATAATTTTATTTGAAGAATATAAAAATAAGATTTAATATATTGTGGATTTAAGTAGAAAAGCTATTTATCAGTTGTTGAAAATGTACATAACTATATCGTATTGAAGATGAAGTTAAAAAAACTATATCGTATTGAAATATAATTATCATAACTCAATTAATTTTAGATAGATGTGCATGTTGATAAAATATATCATGTTGATAACAATAATTTTTCTAGAGTTGGTTGCAAATTTACAATTTGAAGGTTTTTGTTTCAATATTTTCAAGATCGACTTTATAGTTGGGTTATACTAGGTGTTCGACAAATATTGTTCATTTTTTTTTCTTTGCAAAAAATGTTATTATTGTTGGATTTATCTAATTTAAATGAGAGCGATTTAACTAATCAATGACGAATACAACATCATGTTTTGATGACTTGTAACTGGTGCTTGCTAAAAGCATCCCTAGACAAGTGGTTTTTAAAGAGTATTTTAACAATAAAATATTAAAAAAATAAGGAGAAATTGCTAAAAATAGGCCACAATTTAATTCCAAATGCAAAAGTATACCCCAAATTCAACCTATTGCAAAAATAGGTCAGAGGGGTAGAGAAATTATCATTATCTCCTACATGAGTAAACAATAAAACGGATGTCTCAATTACGATTATAACCATTCGAAGTCTGCCAATACTAATGAAGTCTGCTCAGCAGACTAATAAAGAAGTCTACTATATTATTAAATCTTATTTTTAAATTTAAAAATTATATAAAAATAATGTAAACTGAAGTTTGTTTCTATAAATCAAATGTCAACAAGTATGATCTAGAAAAATTATAATTTAATAAATATGAATCATTTTTAACCATCTAGGATAAACATAAAAAGTGAAAAGTTTTAAACTAGAGCTGCAGACTTCTTTATCAGTCTGCTCAGCAGACTACGGATCGAAGTCTAGTCAAACCAGAATAATTAACCTAACCGGAATTTTTAACATAGTATATAAAGAAACTTACCAGTCGTTACCATAAATAAAAAAACCTAGATCACTGTAAAACGGCGCTGCACTCTGGTCTCTCTCGCCGCGACTCTCTCTCGCAGTAAGCCTTTCCCGGCGCTCCCCATCTCTTCTTTTCTGTTTCTGATGCATATGTTGTTTCATATATATCACTACATATATTGTTGCTGCAGATCTCAGCCAGCGTCTTCATCGTTCTTAGTTATCTCTCCAGATCTGTGAGTTATTCGCCATTACATTCTCTGTTTAGTCCGTATCTTATTGTTTACTGGTTTGTCCTTTAAAATTGTTCTTTTGTTCTTTTGTCCTTTTGCTTTACTGTTTTTTTAACAGATCTAAGTAAAAATACCTTTTTCACAGATTCCGTGAGCAAGTAAGTAAAAATATTTCGATTTTTTCTTTATTTCAAGATTTACCTTTTTTGTTATTTTGTTGTTTAGCGAGTAAGAAATATATTTTTGGAAAGCTTGTTTTTGTTGTTTTGTTTTTAGCTGCAAAGTTATTATGTGGTCGTATCTGTTTTAGTTTTTTGTTTGTTAACTTCCAAGTTTGTTTGCTTGATCTCTACAGAGTAATGCCGATAAGCTACACCAACAGCTCATCTTTCAAAGCAAGCTATGACAGCGGGTGTGCCAAAGCTGATGGAGACTTTGGGATACCTGAACGATGCTATTGCGGCCTTCGATGTAGATTGGAAGAGTCTACAGCTCCAGAGACGTTTGGCAGGAAGTTCTATAGTTGCCTTGATATATTAGGCGAATGTGTATAGTTTTAATGAGGTTTTTCTCAATATGTGTATAGTTTTAATGTTATTCATCGAGTATAACTGAAGTTTTCGTTTGTCATATGTGTAGGATAAACCGGGTCACATCTCCAAATGGTGGGTTCTAGCCATTGAAGAGCAGTTGACCATTCTTCAAATACGAATTGACAAGCAGAGCGAAAGCATGTTCCGTGACAACCGAACAGCCCTTCTGCAATCATATGAGAATCGGCTGTATGCATTGGAGGATCGCCTTGCTGCAACCGAGAAGACCATTAGCGAGATCGAGGAGTTCATAGGGTTCATTCAGAGTGAAATTGCTGGAGTGAAAGAAGCACTTGCTAATCGAGGTTCTGATATCCTACTTTGTGTTTTTTAGTTATTTTTGCAGTAATCTCTTGTGTTTTCATGCGTTGGGATGTAGAATACTAAACCAAGAGACTTGTGTAACCTTTAAGTAGACTAGTTGGGATAAAACATATGTATTTGACTTCTATGGTGATTAATGTTAGTGTTTACTGTTGCATATACATTGTTCGTATACTGGGGAATCTATGTGCACTTTGTGTATTGTGTACATATGCAGGCCGTGAGTTAAGGGTCTCTACATACAATCTCTAAAACTACTTTTCATATGATATTAATAAAAAACACATGCAGACTTCGTAGACAGACTTCTTAAACAGACTTAATATGCAGACTTCGTAGACAGACTTCTTAACCAGACTTAATATGCAGACTTCTTAAGCAGACTTAATATGCAGACTTAATACGTCGAATAAGCTAAACCAGACAGTTTTAAAATTATATTGCAAACCAGCTATAATTGGCTAAACCAATTACGTTTTAAATAACGAAATCGATAAACCACATTGAACTGGTACGACGGTTATTTAACTGGTACGACAGTTATTGAACTGGTACGACGGTTATTGAAATGGTACGACGGTTATTGAACCGGTACGACGGTTAAATAGGTTTCTACGGTCATATATAAGACTTTCTACGAACAATGTACGTCTGTTCATTTCCGCCGTTGGTCGTGGAAAGGTATTTGGCTGTACTAATTTCTTATAATTTGTAAATAAATATCTTAACGGGTTCCAAGTTCCTAGTCGTTTGGGTTTCTACATCGGTTTTTATAAAAATCAGACAACACCGAGTAGATATTTCCAAAATCGGACAAAAATCGAATACCCGTTTCCAAGTTTCTAGTTGCTGTGAATTAGAGATATCTGTACTTTTTTTTATTTATTAAACGGACTTGTATAGTGTTTAGGCGAACTATTTTGGAAGTATTATCTCGTAAAACGGAGTTCAAAACGGGTTGTGTTTTTTTAAAGAACTTTTTCGGCGGCTAGATTTTTGAAACTTTTTTAATTAGACTATTAGGTCTACAGACTTCAATTGCAGACTTAGTTGGCTGACTTCGTGTGCAGACTTCTTCGTAAGTCTTCATAAGTAGACTTCTTGAATATTGGACTTCGTTTTGCAGAGGTCAGAACAGCCAATGGAAAACCCAGAGTTCCCCCCGCGTCTCTTCTCGAAAGGCGATGAGCCGTCTCCGCTGAAAAGCATCGGTTACTATAGCGGTGAGACGAAGCTGATGACTGCACTCGAGGAAGCACTCACACAAGATGAGTGGGAAGAGATATTGAACTCTAGACTGGGAGTGTTCCTGAAGTTCAGTCAGTTGGATTTCGGCTGGGCATCTAGACTGGTGCATTACATTCTCGGCATGCAGCTAGTTTGCAAGAAAAAATTTGAGATTTGGAGCCTCGTAGGTCTAATCCCGATCCGCTTTTCTTTGAATGAGTTCGAACATATTACTGGCTTGAATTGCGAGTACGTCGACAACCTCGAGGATCCGGTGGTTGAGATAACTGATGAGATGAAAGATTTCTGGGAGCGATTGGGAGTCAATCAGGAGTTGGGCCCGAGCACTGAAGACTTGATAGAAGCTTGTAAGGAATGCGGGTCGTGGTCTTCCGAGGATCGTTTGAGGCTGGGATACCTTAGCATTTATACTAGTTACATTGAAGCATGAAAGCCATCTTCAGCTACTTGGGCTAGGTTGGCAAGGCTTGTGATGGATTTAGAAGCGTTTGAGAACTACCCTTGGGGAAGAGTGGCCTTCAAAAACCTGATGCGGTCGGTGAAGGAGAAAGAAATTTGGAAGTCGTCGTACACCATTGAGGGGTTTGTTCAAGTACTACAAGTCTGGGTTTACTTTGCTCTTCCCTGCTAAATTTGGTGAACCACTTCCAGGCGACCACAATGTACCGCTGATAGCTTTCAAGGGATCCAGGGGGAGGAAATTTATGAAAGAGAATATGCTCCGACAGGTAAGTAGTCTGAATTCACACTTGGTTGACTATTATATCGGCAGAATTATTTAGTAGACTTCTAGTGCAGACGTCTGTAGTATACATCAGACTAATTAGGCAGACTTCTTAGGAAGACTTCTTAGGAAGACTTCTTAGGGAGACTTTTTAGGAAGACTTCTTAGGAAGACTTCTTGGGAAGACTTCTTAGTTTTGATTTCCGCATTATACGTTATATAACTCTGTTTTGATTTCCATGTAGACACACATTAACAACTACGTTGTTAAGGAATTCTTCGACATGTTTCCGCGCTGGGAAATTGAAGACGATGATGAAGAAGACGAGAGGACTGACAACATCATCAAAGCGATGTATGGTCATTTTGGCCCTAAACAATGGACATGGGAAAGGAGTCATTGGCCTCCAACAGGTGTGACCAAGTATGTCAAGTCCGAAGGGTCTGTCGATCTGAAGAGGCGATCGGAATCAGTTGGTGATCAAGGAAGTCGGAAGCGGTTCTGCCCAGCCTCTGGTGAGGAAGATGAGTCAATGGTCACGATTCTGAAGGACTACATGGACGACTGCTTCAACAAGATGATGGATGGGTTGAGTAGTTGTGAATCTCAGATCAAACTACTCAACACAAAGTTGGGAACGGTGGAGCAGAAATTAGAGGTTGTGATCCTCCAAGCTGGGACCGGAGGTACAAAGGAGGATGTGGCTCAGACTGGGGAAGCAGACGCCGAGGGCGCAAAACCTGTTGGCGACGATCAAACAGACGCGGACGCCGATCATAATATCGGGGTTAGTCCAAAACCCGCTCCAAAGAAAAGAGGAAGGAAACCCCGGAAAAAATAAAATTCCATATTTATTTTCAAACTTCTCATCGAACCTTACCAATCTGTTTTAAAACTTTAAAACGTTGTCACCACTAAATATTTAATGTTTTTATTTGTACTCTTTAATGTTTGATGTTTGGTTTCGTTTCATTGATGTGTGTTTAAATCTTTATATTTGCAGAGTAATTTTATGTCTAAGCAAAATGAACAAACTGATGTCCCAAGTGAGAGCGTGAACGATGGTAAGCAGGGAACTCCAGAGCCAAGCGTCGTTATGGTTGATCCAGCAAAATGCGACATCGACTTCGATCAGGTCCAGAAAGATAAACACGAGAAAGGCAAGAAGGCGGCACAACTGGTTGCTCGTGCGAAGAGTGAACGTCTGCGAAAGTTGGCTCCTACACAACAAAGCCCTTTCAAACCCAACAACACAGCGAAGGAAATAATCCCAAACAAAAATGTCCGAGGGTGCGGATATGATCCGTTTGATATGAAACACATGAAGCAAAAGATCGGTGTGCTAACTGATTGTCTGAAAAAAGATCCGTAAGTCTTTGTTTTAGAGTTAGCATAAAGCAGACTTTCCATTGTAAGAGTAGTGGATGATATTGTAAAATGGTGTTGTTTTCAGGGCATATCCGAAGCGGGTAAAATGGTCATCCGTGGACTGGTACTTCATTCTAAGAGTTCCTAAACAATGGCTAGCAGACACTGTAAGTTACGCGAGTGTATATATGATATGAACACAACATATTACACTCTGCTTGAATAATTGTTTTCATTGAATATGCAGCACATGGAAGCTGGGATTAACCTACTCAGGCTGCGATTTACAAAGCATCCTGAGTGGTTTAGGTCGGACAGGATAACATTCCTCGACTCTTACTTTGCAACAATGTAGAGGTACAAGTACAAGGAGTTCGTAGACTCTCACGCCAACCCTGATGGTTCAGGCAAGCTCCTTCCAGCTGGCTCGTTCGAGTACTACACTGGCGCAGCCCCAACCTACTGCGTTAGTAACAAGACGTGGGGGTATGATGTGGATGACCTGTACTCGATGTTACACATCACTGATGATCACTGGGTGGCAATGTAGATTTCGATTCTGATGAAGCATATTGTCATTTGGGATAGCCATGCGAATACTCATGCATCGGATATTCAGATTGAGGCTGCTGTGACTCCTATTACCGTCTTGGTTCCCTACATACTCCGTGAGTGTGCACCTGCTGAAGACCGTATCAATCTGACTTATGATCCATTCACGTGGGAGCGAATCAAGGGGCATTTGATCTCATAAAACAAACAAAGCGGTGACTGTGGCGTTTACTGCTTGAAGTACCTTGAATGCCATGCTCTAGGGATGCCATTTCCGAAGACCTTGTGCGATGCAAACATTAAAAACATCCGAGACAAGCTAGCAGCTGAGATATTTGACGAGACAAGAGTAACCGGCACAGAGAAGTATGAGTATCCATGGCTGGACGTATACGAAGGTAAGTGATATGTCCAACTATGTATATTCTGTAATGAAAGAGAAAGGACTCTCGTTGGGTGTGGTATGGTTGGAAGTTTTTGGTTAACCTGCCAGAATTGTTGTTCTCTTATTTAACTGTAATGTTCCTAACTAATTTCGGTTTGTTTAGTAATATTTAGAACAATGGTGTGGTAGTATGTTTTGGAGGCTAAACGCTTGTAATAGACTAGTGTGGCTTTTGTGATAATTCACGTACTCTAAGGTTTACCCTAATCATAGCTTATTATATCGCATAGTTTATGACAATAATTAAGAATGATCGTACATAGACATTAAACAGACATATTTCAGTAGTGTTTCCCTTACCTGGTGAAGCAGACTTCTTGTGCAGACTACGGTAGAAGACTTCTAGTAGTAGTCTTCAGTGTAAGTCTGCTATTATAGTTTTATGGTTTTATCTTGACTTCAACGTCTGCAAAAAAAAAAAACAGAGGAAATTAACTTCGACCCTAAACCCTTAAAGTATGAGGTAACATAACACTTACACAATCCGGTCTAGTATGTCCTGGTTGGTGACATTTCAAACAACTGTACTGCTTGTGGATCTTACGGGGTTTCTTTTGCTTATGCCTCAAAATTTCCAGCCAAGTTTGCCATCTTGACTTCCTCTACCTGCCTTTTTTACGTCGGACCTCCTGAGGTAGACATTGTGTTGTTTCATCGGTTTTCATTGCAATGCTTGGAGGATATATATTATGCGAGTACGCTGCATACAAGTAATCTTTGGAGTATGTCGGGCATACAAGAGTGGCCATATGCATATGCATTGCATCTGAAACGGCTATAACATGAGAGAAAGATATTTTCTCAATATCATACACGCCACACCCACACTTTCGAAGTTCCAAATCAACGACACAGTTATGTGATCCTCCTTTCACATTGAATCGCCAACCATCTATGCCTTCAACCGTCAACTTATCAGCATAATGTGAACGAATTGCCAACAAATATTCAACTCCTCGAGTATGGTTGGTTGGAAGACTCAAAGCATCTTCCCGCCTTTTACAAAACCACTTTGTTAGCTTCGCCCGTAAGTACTCCAACAGGAATACTATGGGAAATCCCCGTGCCCGTTTGAGAGCAGAGTTGATAGACTCTGCGATGTTGCTCGTCTTTATATTGTATCTATCACCTGGAAAGTGAACTCTTGACCACAACTGAATGCCAGCCTCCTCCAGGTACGTTGCAAGGTCAGGTTTTATATGCCTTATCTCGTCCATATAACGGTTAAAATCATGTACCGTATATGCATATGCAACACGTTTGACTAAGTACATAAGATGTTTCCCCTTAAACTTAGTGACAATATTGTGTTGCAGATGATAATAGCATATACCGCGTGTTACCCATGGTAATACAGTCTCACATGCATTCTTAATGGAATGATGCTGGTCTGAAACTATCACCAATGGATACTCGTCTGTAAAACACTCCCGCAATTTTCTAAAAAACCAATCCCATGCGTGATCATTCTCAGAGTCCACTATTCCAAAAGCTAGTGGAAATATCTGGAAGTTACCATCTTGTGCTGTGGCCACTAGCAGAGTCCCTTCATACTTTCCAGTCAGATGACACCCATCGACAACAATGACCCGTCTGAGATATTGAAAACCAGCTATGGAGGCTCTGAAGGCTAAGAATAGGTACTTGAACCTATTCTGACTGTCGCGTTCAAGGGCAGTTATAGTACCCGGATTTGCTTCAACGATCAGACGCAATTAAGAAGGCACTCGGCTATATCCATCCTCAGGGCTTCCCCTCACACATTCTTGTGCATACATCAAAGCTCTATACGAAGTTGTGTAGTCTATTTTCAATTGAAACATCGTCTGCGTTGAATCTTTGATGTGTTCTGCAGTAATCCCATCAATTATTCCCACACGCTCTATAAATAACTTTCCAATGTATCTTGGAGTCGTATGCTTTCGGTGAGCCAACCGATCTGAAACTGAACAGGTATGAGTTTTGACATATTTAGTGACCCAAAACGTCTTTGCTTCGTTCTTTACAGCTGCTCTAACTCTCCATTGACATCCTTTAATAGCACATTTAGCAACAAACAGACGTGTCGATGACTTATCAACTCTGAATGCAAACTTCAACATAACAGCCATCAACCTGATCTCAGAAATCAGGTCGTCTTTTGTAGCAAAACTTCCATTTACTTTTATTTTGCCAACCCAATTTCTTTCATATCCTCTTTGAGGAGCCTTCACCGGTTCTTCAATCCACTCACCCTCACCCTCTGAATCAGAATTTGAATCCTCATCCTTCACTTTCCCATATTGGCTGTAGTCCTGATCCTCAGAGTCCTGACCCTCAGGGTCAGTACTGTCTTCCTCCTTTACTGAATCGTTTTTGATGTCCTCGTTTATCTCATCATCATCATACTCATCGACATTTTCATCTTCACCTTCCTCAGTATTTTGATTCCCACCTTCAACAGAACACCCATCAGCAGCATCAACACCACCAGTACGTCCATCATTGTCCTTGCAACTAGATACACAAAGACGTATAGCATGCGTCTTACTCAGCCCAATCAAGTTCTGTACTTGTCTATCATTAGTAATATGCATAGGAGGGGTATCCGGAGCCATGTTTGCTAACATTGAATCTGGCAATGCATAAGTGATAGACACGCTGTCCGTATTTCCATCCAGCATGTAATCATCTAGAGCCATAGCTACGAGTTCTCCATGTGTACAACCATCATTCAAGAAGAACAACCTCCCTCCTTTGCGATTATCCACCTCAAAATGCCACGACTGAGCACTCATAACCCATTCTCCAAATACAACAGGCAACTGAGCCGCCATCTGCAAAAAAGGTAAACCACACAAGATAAACCGTGTTTTCCAAGTAACATAGAGCAGATTTTTAAAGAAGTCTGCTATAATCGGCTAAACGTCTAAACATTCAAGAAAATTCATCACTTTCTAATTATAACACATATCAATGTGAAACTCACGTATATGGAACCAAGAAAGGCAGATCAACATGTCCAAACAATATATTTATTTTAGCATATACCATTAATTCGAAAACGAATTTTTTGCTAAAATAATTAGGCAGACTTCAAGTGTTGTCTGCTGTGTTATTCTCCTTCGACAGGCAGACTTCAGTGGCAGACTTCTTATGAAGTCTGCTAATATGTGCCAATTACCGTTCAAATCTACAAAAATTATAACTATTAATGTATAACACATAAGCATACAAAATTAATACAGGTAAAGGAAATATACCTTCTAAACAAGAATAAAAATTAAAAAAAAAAATTCATCACACAAAAGTTTAAAAAAAGTACTTTTTAAAAATGAAAAAAATGCAGACTTCCAGCAAAACTCCACCCGGTTGCTTTCACGAAGAAGTCTGCCAAAAAGGCAGGGTTACTTTTGCAATTGACCAAATGTTTGACTTTCGTAGTAGACTTCTATATAAAGTCTGTATAAGAAAAAGGTTATTTCTGCAATTGACCAAACGTTTGACTTTTACAGCAGACTTCTTTTGAAGTCTGCTGTACGAGGCAAGAAGTCTTCTGTTAATGTGAAGTCGGCTGACGAAGTCTACACTACCAACGATGTCTGCTGCAGGTTATTTCTGCAATTGACCAAAGTTTGACTTTCGTAGCAGACTTCTAAATTAAATTTTTTAGAAGTCTGCCGAGAGGTTATTTTTGCATTTGACCAATTCTGAATTAAATTAATAGCAGACTTCTAAAGAAGTCTGCTATAAATTAAATTCGTAGCTGACTTCTTTAGAAGTCTGCTCGAACAGTCAAAGGTGGTCAACATCTTGGTCAAATGCAAAAATAACCTTTCAGGTCAAACTTATCTTTTTCAGACATCTCCACGAAGTCTGCAGAAAAGGTCAAAGTATAATATTTTCCGGTTAAATGCAAAACTATTCTCGCTTTTCGACAGCCTGAAATAGAAGTCTAAACGTTGTTTTTTTGTATTCAAATGAAAATTCGCAGACTTACAAAGAAGTCTACTTTCAAAAAAATACCAAAAGGTCAATTGCAAATCTAACCTTTTACGTTGACTAACAGACTGTAAAAGAAGTATACTTTCGCGAAACATAGCCCAATGTTAAAGAAAAGATTTAGATGTTTACCTCTTTCCAATTTGAACTCGATTAACTTTGACAGAAGTTCAGAATTTTTGAGATGCACGGAAAGGAAACCAGCCCAGAACTCGGTTATCCAAGAATCTCACAAAATATATGATTTGCGAATTCAAACATATCAATGTCGATTAAGAAAGAGATTTTTAGATGAAATCAGATAGAAATTTGAAGATAGAATGAAGTTTGAGCGGCCAAATAAGCATTTAGAGCTTCAAGTGCAGATGGGCAAGCATTAAGAGCTTCCATTTTGGTTGGTAATGGTAGTTGGCGAAATTGAAGATGATGGCATTTTCGTGAATACTTCAAATAGCTTCGGATGGGTATGTCTTTTTCGAATTACCTAAAAAATTTGATAATTATAAATATAATGGCATTTATGTTATTATATGTGGCTTTAGGGAGAAAGTGAGGAGAAATTGGCTAATATTGAAGAGGGAGAAAAAAGAGGTTAGATTTGCATTTGATTTCAATTTTGAGGTCATATGTGCAAGAAGCCCAAAAAAATAGAAGTTAGAAAGATGTGAGAACCAGTTTTTTTTTCCTCTGACTATTTTTTGTTTAAACAAAAATAAAATACAAGTTTATGATACATATTTGAAATATATAAGCCGGCAGAAAAGGAAGATATCTCCAGAGACAAAGACTCAATCAAGGGAAATAAAGCCCCATAAAAAAAAGAAATTTATGAAAGGAGTAAAATCTATGGAAACAATACAACAGAACTAAAAATTAAAATTCCAAAGAACTAAAGCTGAAACTCCAAATAAAAATTGTCTCGAGATCGAATACCAAACCTGTAGACGCCAGAGTTGCATCAAAGAACTAGAGCCTTGAGAAGAACGTTCTTGGAACCAACAACAACCACTGAGCGCCACATAAACAGGAGGAAGCACAAAAACAAGTTTCAAATAGATAACACCAGCAGAAACGAAAGTAGGACCAAAAATTAACAGAGAAGATAAAACCATCACGCCACTCCAAAAGGCCAACAAACTTAAGCTGACCGAGTCTCAAGGAGATAAACCTTAAACTGCGATTGGGGATATGCCAGAGAAGACTAACAACTATACACACAGTAATTCGCGAACAAGCCATATCCATCTACTGATATATAACAAACGCCATTCCGCGAGAGGTGAGCTAGTAAATGCCTCTACAACGAGTAACCATCCAAAAGACGAACCCCAAGAACGAACCTCATAACAATGCAAACCATAGCACAAAAGAGAGGGCAAAACATGGGTAAGAATTGAAGAACTTGGAGCCAAGCCAGCAGCCCAAACCAGAGAAGTAAAGGCAAAACAGATCTACACCTGGCATCGATTGCAATAGACCACACCGTCGTTCATCAAAGAACTGGCAACACCGAGAATGAAAGAACCAAAGATCTCTAAACCATATCTAATAACACCCCATGAACCAGACAAAAACTACTCAGACATCTTTACAATAAAAAGGAAGATGAAAAACAAAATCCAATAATCAAATCTAGATCCAAAAATCTAAATCTAGAAATTAAGATCCATCTTCAAAAATCTCTCTCGACAAAGGAAAATAGAAGAAGAAGAAGAAAAACCAAAGGAATCTACTGGTAACACCATTGGAAGGATAGTGGCCACCGGAGCAACAAATCGGCGTAGACGACACCAAGTACAAACGCATGAAACTAGAGAGAAAATTTCTCGAGGAGAGAAAAATAGCAACAAAAAGGCTCTCATATGAGAATTTTAAGATACCTATATAAGAACTTCATTTGACATATGTCTTTTTGTGATTAGTTAATTTTCTTGTTTTAGACGAAATTTTATTATAGAAATAAATTATAATAAAATATTGATAATTTTTTGATTAGATATCAAATGGAGTTCTAAAGCAATGGAGATGCTCTACTGATACATTCTTACTTCTTAGAGCATCTTCATCACAGAAATTTTGCATGAAGTTTTTTATAATTTTTTAATAATAAATTTAATAAGAGGAGAGAGAGGAAAGAGAGTCTCCGCAAAAAAAAAAATCTTAAAAAGTGGAGAGTCAAGAGAGGACAGTAGGAGAGAGAATGTGAGACAACTTACAACAACCAATTACAAGCTGA